AAAACTCTGAACATAATACAACATTGAACAACTTCTCAAAACTCTTCACTCAGTGATCCCACGATCAGTCTTCGCTAAACTGAGATCTTTCAATTTACATGAATTGATTTCTGGCAAACAAAACTTGATCTACTGTACAGGCCAATTTGCACATGCTTAGATATTATTTCCAAGACTGTTATTTAAGTTCAAAACTTATCAACAGACAAACGAATAAGATATTTCTACTGTATTTTACACTGAAACATATTCTGAATCTAAAAAAACAAAAAAAAAAAAAACAGAAAAATTAAGAATTAACTAAACACGTAAACAAGTCTAAGTCTTCCATATAAACATGAACCAACGAATTCTGAACAGCAAAAAATAGTGCATATTGCTGCCTGTTGTGTGTGTGTGTTTATTCAACGCATTCTCATCCTTTAACGTCATATAGAACGCTATATGCAAAAACGGCGCTATACTACGCACATGGCACCTGTTATCATTAATATAACACGTGCTGTGAGAGCTAAGTTTAGGTGTGGGGTAGGGTCTGCGTATCATATTTACGCTAAAGGATTTATGACGACTTGGGTTCGCGTGTTATATTAATGATAAAGGGTGCCATGTGCGTAGTATAGCGCCGTTTTTGCATATAGCGTTCTATGACGTTAAAGGATGAGAACGGTCTGGTTTATTATATGTATGAATGATGTGTTTTGGTAGTTTTAATGCGTTTTGAATGTGAAATGTACTGCAGTGAAGCTGAAGTGAAGAGCTTAAAAAAGTGATAAGTATTTAGAAATAAATACATTCTAATTTAATTTAATTTAATGGGAATATAACATTCTAATGTTGTGGGTTAACAGATTATGATTGGGTTACAAGCATCACCTGATGTCAGTCAGGATAAAAATGTAATGATAAAAAATAAACAAATCTGGGTAATTTAAGCCCTAAGGGAAACAAGGTTGTTGTTTTTTTTTACTGATATTGGCCAATATGAGGGACCACAACCCATAAGATTGGTCTTTCATTACAGAAAAGAGGCTCTCCAGTTTGATGGTAAAGGGAACAATGTGTAATTGCTGCTAATATACTGTTATATACTGCTGCTAATATGCTAATATCAAATAATGTTATATCTTTTTATAATTGTATTATGAAATATATGCCTTGTTAAAAAGAATTGAAACATGTTCATAATTGAAACCAAAAGGAGAATTATAAGCATTCCCCAGACTTACTGCTGCCATTGCATTTTATTTATCTAGAGTCTAGATCATGTACAGTTTAGCTTGTGTGGAGACCTGCAATTATACCTTAAAGAGATATTTCTGCTTGATTTTATTGAGTTGATAAACTAGATGCAGTTACGGAAGATATTTATCACGTTTTGAAGGCCCATCTAAAAGCACACCTAATCCCGCATAGATCTGAATGCAGAGAAGCTCCTCAAAGCGATGCTGGTGGTCTTAAAATTATCAGTGGGGAAAACTATCACCTCAGTTTTGTGTTCATTTAAAGACACAATTTTTTTGCAAGCAAAGATGTAACTTCATCTTAGCATAATAAAAGAGAAATGGAAGCAGACGGATCATTTCTCTCAATAGGTGTATATATTTTGGTGTCTTCAGCATAAGAATGGAAGGAAACACCATGTCTTATTAAAATATAGAACCCAATGGTAGCATGTAGAACGAGTAAAGGGAGGGCGCCAAGATCGATCCCTGTGGAGGTGAGCGACAGAACAGAAGAAATGACCTATCCTGAACAAAAACTTTCTGTTCCATAAATAAGATTGAAACCAGTTAACTGTTAAAAAGATAATTGAAGTAATTTTCAAACTAAAGTAATATACACTGTAAAAAAAAAAAAAATCATGATTTGTTATCATAACGTTGTTTCTTCTGTCAAATCAACTTAGATAATGTATGTGGTTCAGATAACATAATATTTTGAGTTTCTGATTATAAAATCAATCTCCTTCATTGTATTAAGTCAATTTTTCAATTTCAATGAACGTAGTTTCAAGGCAACCAGGTAACTTCATTTTTTTAAGTTAAACCAACAATAATTGTTTTACAGTGCACACATATCAGTCAAAACTGCTTGTAAAATGTAAAATATAGTCAAATACAACTATTTGTATATTTGTCAAATACAACTTATCAGTAGGCAATAAGCTTAAATGGGATATGTGGACCAATCATATACTGTAAGTATAAAGCCACAACAGAGAATTAATTTTTTAAAGCAATAACTTTCCTGTATTGTCCACAACATAAAGCTTCTGATGTTTTATAGGAATTTCATCGAAAGTGTTATGATATTCTGTATTATTTGTTAGTATGGAATTGCTACTGAGGTACAGACAAAATTATTAAGAAAAGTAACAATGGCAAGTAAATTGTTAGGGACTGCTATAACCAAGCATAGACAGTATCTATGAAGAGAGAGCGTTAAATAAGAAAAAAATAATATTATGAATGATAAGAGGCGTCTTCTCGCCTCTGCTTTCGAACTGTTGCCGCTGGGCACTTCATAATAACTGCATGCTATTAATCATTAGTTAATCATTAGTAAATAGTTTATCTGTAATTTATAAAGCATTAATAGTCATTAATAAGAAGTTTATAAATACAGCTATAAATGCTCTATTCTTGTGTAAATGCTTTATTCTTTATTTAGAAGCATAATATTGTGTTTAATCATTGTATTTTCATACTTTATTAATGATCAATTTATAATTTCCTAATGAAGAATAACATTATTTACAAACCAGTTATTTAGGAGTTGTCAGTGATTCATGAGATCACTTAAGTGTATTTAAATGTAGTAAATGCAAGAAGTTAAGCATTTAGTAGTGGTCAGTTAACTTTTTTTGGCAGCTCATCTAAAGTGAGGAATAGTTATATCTTGTAAAGCATTCATAAATTAGATTTAAAGGCTCAGTTCTCTTCTAAACAGAAAAAGGAAACAAACACAACACTTTGAACATAAAAGAACATACAAATATTTAACTGAGCCTTTGAAATCTCTTTTATAAATGCGTTACAAGGCATAACAGGTCCTCACTTTAGATGAGCTCACAAAATAGTAAACTGACCACTACTAAATGGTTGATAACTACCTGAATTAACCTTGGATTACAGTAGAAATACATGTTAAAAATGTATTAACACACTAAGTAACTATTACTATATGTCTGAATAATAAGATGCATGAATGCACATTGAAATAGTTTATTAATCATTTACTCACTTTCTAAGTGATCTTATAAACCACTGACAACTCCTAAATAACTTTATATTGGTTTATTATTATGGTTTATAATGCTATACTTCATTTAGAAATCATAAATTGTTCATTAATAAAGCATGGAATTAAAATGATTAAAACACATTATAGATATGCTTTTAAACCAATAATCAGCAATTTATAAAGACAGCTATAAAGCTATAAATTCTTTAATATTGTTTTAAAAGCATATCTATAATGTGTTTTAATAATTGTATTTTCATTAGTTAAGCATTTACTATTGCTTAACTAATGATTACTAGTGTGGGGTTATTAAATTTACTGAAAGTACCTTAACTAAGCAGCTCTACAGTCTCAGAGGCTTTGGGACAGCCAGCCATTCAGACAATAGAGAAGTGTGAACGACGTGTGTTAATGGGCCACTGCAGTTCCTGCTCCAGCCTACAGGAGCGCTGCTGAGTATGGGCTTAAACACACACACGTGTGTTAGTCCCCACTTGGTCAAAAGTTAAAAAAATTCACCAGAGCGTTTTTTAGTTGATTTTAACATGTTTTAAGGCATAGCTAACAGGGGACTTGAAAAATGTCCCCACTTCCCTCGGCGGTCCCCTGTTGGTGAGTGTGTAACGACACCAAAGTCCCCTCTTAGATAGGTAGACAAGTACACACACACACACACACACACACACACACACACACACACACACACACACACACACACACACACACACAGATATAATCATTTAGAGACTGTCTGTTCCCCAAAAAAAAACAAAAACTTCAAAACCCATCTAAGGGTAAAAATTTGATTGATGTTCAACAAATAAAAAAACAGATAAATACAGATGAACAAATGATAAAGCTTGGGTTGCTGAATATTAGATCCCTTTCTTCAAAAGCACTTATTTTGAAGTGTTGGTGCTTAATGTAAAAATACATAGTGTAAATGATGAATCCCGCTTGAGAGTTGTGCTGGCTACTGTATACAGGCCACCAGGGCACCATACAGACTTCTGCAGACTTATATATCTATATATCTGCTGACTTTCTATCAGAGTTATTAACGGCTGCAGATAAAGTCCTAATAGTTGGTGATTTTAATGTAGATAATGAAAAAGATGCATTGAGATTGGCATTTAAAGACTTTATAAACTCAATTGGAGTTAGACAACATGTGTCAGGACCCACTCATTGTCGTAATCATACTCTAGATCTAATATTATCACTTGGAATAGATGTTGATGCCGTTGAAATTCTTCAGCAGAGCGATGACATCTCAGATCACTATCTAGTCTTTCATGTAAACTTCACTTAGCCAAAGCAGCAAAGCCGACTCTGTGTTATAAATATGTTAGACCTATAACTTCAGCCACAAAAGATTGCTTTATCAATAATTTTCCTGTTTTAGTTTCATCATCTCAGCAACCCGGATAGCTTAGAAGAACTCGATATCGTGACAGAAACTTTTAACTATCTCGTTGCTCAATGCTCTACTGGGTGGTTGCCCTGCACGCTTAATAAACAAACTTCAGCTAGTCCAAAACGCAGCCGCTCGAGTTCTCACCAGAACCAGGAAGTATGACCATATTAGCCCGGTTCTGTCAACCCTGCATTGGCTACCTATTAAACATCGTATATTTTTTTAATTATTGCTGATTACTTACTAAGCACTAAATAAGTTAGCTCCAGTACTTGAGCGAGCTCTTAACGCATTATAGTCTATAATGATACCGTGTATCGGTGTGATCTTCACTGACCTGTGAGTGTGAGTCTGACTGCGGTCCCGAAGTGCATGTTCTTCAGACTGGTTCCAGTAGAGCAGAAGTACAGGCCGAGATCCTCATCTCTGACGCTGAAGATCCTCAGACTCACAGACTCCAGTCGCCCATGGGCCTGAAGCTCAAACTGGCTTCGCTCCATGTTGTGTTCGACTATAAACTCATCTCTCTTCAGGACTCCTCTACTGGCAGACAGCAGTAAAGCCATGTTCTCCCCGGGGCCGAGCCGGAACCAGGCCAGGACAGTGCTGGAGTTACTATGAGAGTCACAGGGCAGAGAGACGTTCTGCTGGAGCCGGACACTCATGTTCACCGCAGGAACACACACCACACACACCACAGCGAGGCCTGGGGTCAACAACACACAACACACATCAGATCTCCAGCAAGAAGTGTCAGTCATTATAAAGCAACTAGTTTACTCACTAATAAACAGAATCACTCTGAAGATCATCATTCAGTCAGATGGAGTTTGACTCTGAGGGTCTCACTTATGAACACTCATGTTCAACACTCATGTTCAAGATGGGCCAGGCTCACCCTCAGAAGCCACAAAGGGAGCACACACACACACACACACACACACACACACACACAGGCCTGGTGTTGCTGAGAAGGGGAAAAATTTGTTTCAACAACACTCTTAAGTTTCGATTTAGAGGGAAAGGAAACTACAGCTCCGTCCACAGACTGCATGAGGAGCAGAGGTTTGGTGAACACACACATACACACAAACACACACACACACACACACGCATGCACGCACACAGACACAAACAGACACACTCACACACACCAACATCCCATGCTTTCGTGTTTATATCTGGAACTTCTCCCTGAGGAATGAGCCATGATCTGTGAGTCTGTGCAGGAACAGGAGCGAGAGCAGACCAGAGCAAGTTTTGGTTTCATGTCTGATGTCAGGAGCGCTGAAGGTGGGATTCTGAAACTGAGCTTTTCATTTCATGCCCTTCCTCCAGTTCCTGTGCTCATCGTCAGCCGGCAGAAAACATTCACACAACGTTTTCACTTTGAAAAATCAAAAGTGCACAGCCCTTTACAGTAAACAGTACAGGCCTAGTAACATTTCATAACTTTGATAATCAAAAATAATCTTTGCATTAATGAAACATAATAATTAGGGCCCGAGCACTAACAGTGCGAGGACCCTTTTGAAACTGTTAGGGTTATTTTTATTTTTATTTTTTAGGGCCCGAGCACTAACAGTGTGAGGACCCTATTGAAACTGTTAGGGTTATTAGGGCCCGAGCACTAAAAGTGCGAGGACCCTATTGAAACTGTTAGGGTTATTAGGGCCCGAGCACTAACAGTGCGAGGACCCTATTGAAACTGTTAGGATTATTATTTTTTAGGGCCCGAGCACTAACAGTGCGAGGACCCTATTGGAACTGTTAGGATTATTATTAGGGCCCGAGCACTAACAGTGCGAGGACCCTATTGAACCTGTTAGGATTATTATTATTATTATTTTTTTTTTTCTTTTTTCTGCAAAGTAAGTGCCATTTTCGGGGCCGCAACATGCTCAAAAACTCACCAAATTTGGCACGCATGTCAGGACTGGTGAAAAATTTCGTATTTTGTGGGTTTCGCAGATAAGCGGGGCAAAATGGCACGCTAGCGCCACCTAGAAAATTGGAAAAAATTAGCCCCTCGTCCACGTTCAACCTACATGCACGAAATTTGGTAGGGACGTGTATCATATCAAGACGCACAAAAAAGCCTCAAGAACCCATACCCTAAACTCGACAGGAGGTCCGCCATTTTGAATTTGGCGGCCATTTTTGGACGATTTACAGACTCCGTACTTTAACGAACTCCTCCTAGGGATTTAGTCGGATCGACTTAAAATTTCTGCTGTGCCTTCTAAAGGCATTGACGATGTAAAGTTGTGCTATCTGCGCGTTTTCGTCGATGGGCGTGTCCGTGGCGTCGAAGATTCGCCATGAAACAGGAAGTTGTAGTAACTTGGCTGTAAATGCCCAGATCTGCACGAAATTTGACACATTTGACAAGAGTCCCGCCCTGAACAAATCTACATGCCGACATTCACCCACAGTCATAGCGCCACCTGCTGGCAACAGGAAGTGACCTTTAACGAAGCAGCCCCCGCCGCTTGTTTGACCGACATGTACGAAATTTCTGTGGAACATCTACCATGACCAGACGCACAAAAAAGCCTCATGAACCCATACCCTAAACTCGACAGGAAGTCCGCCATTTTGAATTCGGCGACCGATTTGGGACGATTTACACACTCCGTACTTTAACGAACTCCTCCTAGGGATTTAGTCGGATCAACTTCAAATTTCTGTTGTACCTTCTAAAGGCATTGACGATGTAAAGTTGTGCTATCTGCGCGTTTTCGTCGATGGGCGTGTCCGTGGCGTCGATGATTCGCCATGAAACAGGAAGTTGTAGTAACTTGGCTGTAAATGCCCAGATCTACACGAAATTTTACACATTTGACAAGAGTCCCGCCCTGAACAAATCTACATGCCGACATTCACCCACATTCATAGTGCCACCTAGTGGCAAGAGGAAGTGACATTTAACGAAGCAGCCCCCGTCGCATGTTTGACCGACATGTACGAAATTTCTGTGGTACATCTACCATGTCCAGACGCACAGAAAAGTCTCTTGGAGCGATGCCCTAAACTCAACAGGAAGTCAGCCATTTCTAATTTTACCGCCATTTTTGGATGATTTACTCATTACGTACTTTAACTAACTCCTCCTAGGGCTTTAGTCGGATCGACATCACATTTCTGATGTGCCTTCTAAAGGCATTGACGATGTAAAGTTGTGCTATCTGTGCGTTTTCGTCGATGGGCGTGTCCGTGGCGTCGAAGATTCGCCATGAAACAGGAAGTTGTAGTAACTTGGCTGTAAATGCCCAGATCTGCACGAAATTTTACACATTTGACAAGAGTCCCGCGTTGAACAAATCTACATGCCGACATTCACCCACAGTCATAGTGCCACCTGCTGGCAACAGGAAGTGACCTTTAATGAAGCAGCGTAGCAAATGCACAGCCGCACTGGCTGAGCTGCAGAATATGCAACGCAGCCGCCTCACACCCCGACGCGCTACAGGTGCGAGGGCCCGCCCATCGCTGCTTGCAGCTTTAATTAGGGCCCGAGCACTAACAGTGCGAGGACCCTATTGAAACTGTTAGGATTATTTTTTTTTTATTTTTTTTTTTTTTTTTTTTCTGCAAAGTAAGTGCCATTTTCGGGGCCGCAACATGCTCAAAAACTCACCAAATTTGGCACGCATGTCAGGACTGGTGAAAAATTTCGTATTATGTGGGTTTCGCAGATGGGCGGGGCAAAATGGCACGCTAGCGCCACCTAGAAAATTGGAAAAAATTAGCCCCTCGTCCACGTTCAACCTACATGCACGAAATTTGGTAGGGACGTGTATCATATCAAGACGCACAAAAAAGCCTCAAGAACCCATACCCTAAACTCGACAGGAGGTCCGCCATTTTGAATTTGGCGGCCATTTTTGGACGATTTACAGACTCCGTACTTTAACGAACTCCTCCTAGGGATTTAGTCGGATCGACTTAAAATTTCTGCTGTGCCTTCTAAAGGCATTGACGATGTAAAGTTGTGCTATCTGCGCGTTTTCGTCGATGGGCGTGTCCGTGGCGTCGAAGATTCGCCATGAAAAAGGAAGTTGTAGTAACTTGGTTGTAAATGCCCAGATCTGCACGAAATTTTACACATTTGACAAGAGTCCCGCCCTGAACAAATCTACATGCCGACATTCACCCACAGTCATAGCGCCACCTGCTGGCAACAGGAAGTGACCTTTAACGAAGCAGCCCCCGCCGCTTGTTTGAACGACATGTACGAAATTTCTGTGGTACATCTACCATGACCAGACGCACAAAAAAGCCTCAAGAACCCATACCCTAAACTCGACAGGAAGTCCGCCATTTTGAATTTGGCGACCGATTTGGGACGATTTACACACTCCGTACTTTAACGAACTCCTCCTAGGGATTTAGTCGGATCAACTTCAAATTTCTGCTGTACCTTCTAAAGGCATTGACGATGTAAAGTTGTGCTATCTGCGCGTTTTCGTCGATGGGCGTGTCCGTGGCGTCGATGATTCGCCATGAAACAGGAAGTTGTAGTAACTTGGCTGTAAATGCCCAGATCTACACGAAATTTTACACATTTGACAAGAGTCCCGCCCTGAACAAATCTACATGCCGACATTCACCCACATTAATAGCGCCACCTAGTGGCAACAGGAAGTGACTGTTAACGAAGCAACCCCCGCAACATGTTTGACCGACATGTAAGCAATTTCTGTGGTACATCTACCATGTCCGGACGCACAGAAAAGTCTCTTGGAGCGATGCCCTAAACTCGACAGGAAGTCGGCCATTTCTAATTTTACTGCAATTTTTGGATGATTTACTCATTACGTACTTTAACTAACTCCTCCTAGGGATTTAGTCGGATCGACTTCAAATTTCTGCTGTGCCTTCTAAAGGCATTGATGATGTAAAGTTGTGCTATCTGCGCGTTTTCGTCAATGGGCGTGTCCGTGGCGTCGATGATTCGCCATGAAACAGGAAGTTGTAGTAACTTGGCTGTAAATGCCCAGATCTGCATGAAATTTCACACATTTGACAAGAGTCCCGCCCTGAACAAATCTACATGCCGACATTCACCCACCAGTCATAGCGCCACCTGCTGGCAACAGGAAGTGACCTTTAATGAAGCAAAGTAGCAAATGCACAGCCGCACTGGCTGAGCTGCAGAAAATGTAACGCGGCCGCCTCAGACCCCGACGTGCTACAGGTGCGAGGGCCCGCCCATCGCTGCTTGCAGCTTTAATTAGGGCCCGAGCACTAACAGTGCGAGGACCCTATTGAAACTGTTAGGATTATTATTATTATTTTATTTTATTTTTTTTATTTTTTCTGCAAAGTAAGTGCCATTTTCGGGGCCGCAACATGCTCAAAAACTCACCAAATTTGGCACGCATGTCAGGACTGGTGAAAAATTTCGTATTTTGTGGGTTTCGCAGATGGGCGGGGCAAAATGGCACGCTAGCGCCACCTAGAAAATTGGAAAAAATTAGCCCCTCGTCCACGTTCAACCTACATGCACGAAATTTTGTGGGGACGTGTATCATATCAAGACGCACAAAAAAGCCTCAAGAACCCATACCCTAAACTCGACAGGAGGTCCGCCATTTTGAATTTGGCGGCCATTTTTGGACGATTTACAGACTCCGTACTTTAACGAACTCCTCCTAGGGATTTAGTCGGATCGACTTAAAATTTCTGCTGTGCCTTCTAAAGGCATTGACGATGTAAAGTTGTGCTATCTGCGCGTTTTCGTCGATGGGCGTGTCCGTGGCGTCGAAGATTCGCCATGAAACAGGAAGTTGTAGTAACTTGGCTGTAAATGCCCAGATCTGCACGAAATTTGACACATTTGACAAGAGTCCCGCCCTGAACAAATCTACATGCCGACATTCACCCACAGTCATAGCGCCACCTGCTGGCAACAGGAAGTGACCTTTAACGAAGCAGC